AATCCCTGCTTTTCCTCACTAGAAATGCTCTGAGTGATTAAATGACAAAAAATAAATCATTTTATAACACAGCTTCCACCAAGAAATACTGGTGTGCATCCTAAGTTCAGATGATCAAGAGCCAGCATGTTACATCAAGTCTATTTAATGTAACCAAAGCTGTTATTTCCCTTTCATTCTGAGAAAACTGAGGGATTTGATTCTTTCCTTAACTAAATGACAGATAGTTTTCCAAATGACTTCGAAAAAAATGCTTGGAATGGGAGGGACAAGCAAAGATGTGGAACTTTGATTACAACTTTGTTAATAGATAGGTTACACAAGGAAGTAGTTACACTGCATATTTCCTTATTTTTATCAATTAAAAAAACCCTCATCCTTTCTATCTGAAAATTAACTTCAAGCTCTTTTTCAGTCTTAATTAAGAAATTGTCCTTTTCAGTTTCCTGATCTGTCGAGGTTTGACAGACAAGTCCTGAAAAGTTTTACGAAACTCTGGTTTTCATTACATGTCTGAAGATAATTAAATTCCCTCTGGCTGTTTTTAAACTGCTGAGTCACCTGTTGCAAGGCCTGAAGATAGTAGGCTTTGAAAGTAAAGAATATTTTTAAAAGCAGACAATAGGGCGTTTTAATGTTAACTTCTTTCCCCTTCTTATACAATTCACTGAGGAACATTCCATACAGGGAAGTGCGAAGCAATTCCGGCTTGCTTATTGTGTCTTATCTCCTTAGACTTCAACACATCAAAAAATGGTAGGGCTAGTAACACATCTTTCCAAGTAGTTCATGGCTTCACATGTTTTTAGGTTCTTCATGATACAACAATTATCTTCATGACAGGAAGTTCTCTTAGTCATGGTTAATCAATGCCTGGGACCTTAAATTCTTATAAGCATGTATCCATTACTTTGATTTCTGTTTGATAATTGATTTGTCCTGAAGCATAATAGGGTGACGTGTGCTGACATAATTTTGTTACATTGCTACTTAGGTTATGTAATTCTTTAATGTTATTAGTCATATTGCTCCCCATTGCTGACATTTAGTAACAGTAATGTTTGCAGATGGTTAGGGTTTGCATACATTACCATTACTATTTCCACATTCAGGGGAAACACTTGTATGGTATATGTGAGGATACAATACAGTAGTCAGAAGCTTGCAGTCTAATAGAAAGAAAAAAAATCTGTTGAGGAGGAAGATACAATCCCACAATGGCAATCTGGCTATTGTTGGAGTTTAGAAGTGATTCCTCTTTGCAACTTCTGCTTCTCTTGTGCTTTTTTGAAACAATTAACTTTCTGTAGAAACAGATCTTTAGGACCAATGTCCAATAAAGGAAGCAGTCTTTCAGCAGAAAACTTAGTCTTTCATCATGTTCAATGAAAAACAATTTTCCCTTGCCATAAGATGAAGACAGATGTGGAAGCCAGGCTAACTTCCTGGAGCAGCAGAGGAAGACACAAAGCATCTACACAGTCTGAATCAAGACAGGTAGGGCAATCTCATCTTTCTGCTTCTCATGCCCATCCCTCCTTTAAATCCTCATCTGCAATTAGTGATGATGTGTTCTAATCCTCTTCATACAAGCTATCAGAGGATTGTAACTTCATATGGGAAAAATCAGGAGAAGAAAAATTCAGAACAAAAATTCTTCTTCCTCATAAAAACATTCAATAGAAAAGAAGGAAAAAACAAAAAAGCAGACAGACTGCACAGAAAGGTTTGTTTAGAACTGCATAACTTCAGAAAAACAAATGGGCTTTCAATTTATTGCTGTTCCTTTGTGGGCTTGAGATCTTGTTTGAGGGTTCAATTTATGCCTGCAAAATTAATTTCATACTGAAGTAGTCATACTTGTGAGTAGATACTATCCTCTTTAGGTAATAAAAGAAATCATTATAATAATCAGATTTGCTTCTGCAATCAAACAGTAGCTTAAAAATTGTCAACAAATATTACTCATGAAGACAATCCTACATTTTTAACCCTTCACTTGCTGTTCATTTTCATCTTTGTTGCTGCTTTCTTGTCCATTCAATGGCAAAGTTTTCTTTTTATTTCATGGCAATGAAAATTTGAAAGGAATTGTTTATTTATACACAGATTATATTATGTAATGCTGCATCCTCAGCTTCAAGCTCAGGAGGATTTATTGTACTCAGATAAATTAGGTTTTTTATTATTATTATGCCTGTACAGAATACACATATTTTGAACATATTTCTTTTCTTTCATTTGTGGCAGGGAGATTTTTTTGACATTTGAGCATAGGCTCTTCCTTTCTATTTTATGCATCTGCCCTCTGGTCATTGTCAACGCCTGCAGTCAGAGTAACAAATTCCTCTTTATTGCACTGTCAGTGTGCTGTCATTATTGTGGACTTTTTCTTCTCCTGGAAAGCTGTTTTGTAAGTTGTTTTTGTAAAGCTATACTACATATGTGTTTGGGATTTATAGGATTTTACCGATCCATCGTTTTCTGGGATATCCAACGCAACCCTCATAAATTTGAAATAAAAAAAGAGAATTTTCATCCAACTACGGCTAAAAGAAAGTGTCATTTCATATGAACTTCACCTGCTGGCTATGGAGGATCCTCCTTGGAGCTGTCTGTTCAGTTTCTGCACTGAACCTCTAGATCCAGGGTACTTTCAATTCAATTAAGCTGAAAACAATGGGAGATAAAAGAGCTACATCCATTGTGCTATATCATCAACAAGGACTCCCACAACCACCCTCCCTTCCCATCCAGACAAGATCTTCAGAAGAGTTCATAAGGCAGCTCGCAAATCTGCCTGCACAGGAATGCCTGACACCACTCCAAGCTGAATAACAAGTTGCAAATAGTTATCTCACTACCCAGGTGGCCTACAGATCCCCTTCAGAAGACATTCACTTCCCACCCAGACAAGAATGAAGTCAATGGATGGTGTGCCAACAATGAAATGCTTGACTCTATGTGCACACACATTTCAGAAATATTCCTTTTTGCATTAGAAGACCAGGAGAGATAAAGGGAACATAATTAGGAAGGGTCTGAGTGTAAAGAACAAGGTGCCCACAGACATGGTTGAGAGGAGGATGAAAACGTGAAGATGTAAAAGCTGGAAGGAAAGGAGGATGGGAAAAGGATAGACTGTAGGAGGAAGGCATGTATGAAAAGGACCTCAAGCCAAAAATAATCTGTAAGGTCTGTAGGTGGTACCTAGACATTCTGATACCTACAATTTCTTACCTTAGAATGAAACATAACATAGGAGATCTCAAACAGGAACTAAAACCAGTTTCCCATCCCTTCACCCCTTAAGATGGAAATCCTTTTGAGTATTTTAAGATCACTCTAAAACTATTCTGGCGCTCATGCACTCTTGCATTCTCACGCAGAACAGTTATGCCACAAGTGGAGGATGTGTTGAGAGAAGAGAATGGACATTACACTAATAACTTCCAAGCAAAACCAGACAAGAGGGCTAGTCTGCCTCTGCCTTGATAATTTGTTGGATGATACAAAAGCGATACAGCTGAGTACATCATTACTCACATCTTGAGTACTGCATATTCCTGTAGTAGGTCATGCTGGCCATTCTACCTTCTGTCCTTCCTGGCCTTGCCTAGAGAAATCTGCACTGCAAAGGAGAGCAGGGAAAAAGAGAGCACAGGCAGTCATTTTACTATTTAAACTCTATAATTACTGCCAGTAAGTTCCATTTTTAAGATTAATGCTCTGCACTGAGCAGGAAACTAATTTGTGAAAAATGTAAGTCTTATATCTAGCAGTGGCAGAGGTACAAAAGTACCTGAGAGCTTCTGCTTTTCCATGGTTTTTCAACATGTGCATGACTGATGTTACAACTCGTGATTTGCTGGGTGCCTACCTGGCAGGGAGTAATGAAACATGGACTTCCTCCCAAAGTTGCACTGACAGCCTCAAGAAACCACACCACCGACTACCCTAGCCTAGGCTGTAATGTCGAGTAGATGGTACAACCAGTAAGTCTGTAACGACGCTCAAAACCTGCCACAGTATACTTTGAGCTGTAAGAACTCATTTGGTACCAGATCACAGTCAAATGTTACTAGAGTTATATTCTAGAATAATTACCATGTTATTCAATAATGTTTGCAAAAAATATTAGGTTTCATCTTTTTTCCCAGGAAATCAATGACCTGATTTAGTCACTTGGTCCTCTTGTTGTTAACCCTTCTTACTGACTGCTCTTCCCCTTTGAAACAAGAACTGCTTTTGATAGCTGATTTTCTATGTTTTAAGCACAGTAGCCACTTAAATATTTTATACTTAAAATTAAATAAGCCTATTCTTGATAGAATGCTGGGTTTCTGCTTGTTACAGGCCACACTCTTTTGCAGTGTATTTCTTCTTTAGACAGTTGCTTACTGAGATTGCTAACTGACTTTAGTATTTTGATAACTCAAGAAGCAATGCCTTCCAATTCAAACAGCACATACTCTGGCATATTTATGTTTTTAGCTTAATAACATGAGGCCTAATACTGCAAAATGCCAAGTACCCTGGGCTCCCACTGCAGTTAATGGAAATTAACTGTTAGTACTTCAGAGTTGTACCCGAGTGCTAAAAGCATAAGATACACTAAAACTACTGGCTTCACTAAACAGCAAAGGCTTCCTCCTCCGTTTCCTTTTACTGACCATTTATCTTCAGGAAAAGCCAGGTCAGTTTTTTCCAATTTCTTGAGTTACTCAAGTAGAGCCAATTTCAAATTATCAAATCTGACAAGTTTTTTTGCTGGTCGTTAGCCTGTTACAGTGCATTTCAGACATTACCAGATATCCTTTTACACAAACTCTGTGGGGTTTTCCTGACATTGGCCTAGAAGCTTTTAAAGAATCCTTCCCAGTAAGTTGAAGATGTAAATTACATTTTAGGCCTTCTGAAAATTTTTTCCTTCCCCTGAAACAAAGATCTTTCATTGTCACTCACAGAGTCTACATTGATGTTTTTTCACTTTCTCTCAGGTTTTTGGCAGTATCCGGTATTGCTAAGGGATATTTAATTCCTACTTCCAGTCCAGTCCTTAGACTTCCTGGCACAGAGGCAGCTTTTCCAAGACTATTCCAAACACAGGAGATGGTGAGTTGCTTTCTACCCTCATACACAAAGATTCTACACTTGCGTTTGTAAGGGATGATCAAATTCATTTAGTTGGGTCTTTCATATGGGTTCTGCGAAGCATGTGGAATGGAGAGTTTTGCTGAGCTCTACAAGATTGACTTTTCCTTAAAGTAGTGCAAGAGGAGAGAAAAAGCTGAAGTAAAAGAGCAAGCAAACATAGCCAGTTGAAGGTTGACCTACGAGGTTACTGCAGGCTTAACAGAGCAATCTGCACATGGTGCAGTGGGAGGCTACAGACCAGCCAGGGAAAAGATGTCAAAGAGGACAATCAGCTTCAGAAAATGAGGGCAGTGGCCAATGGAGGGATGACTGAATAAATGCAGAATAGCACAGCCTGAGAAGTTCAGGCGCTGCAGGAGAAGCTAAGTCTGCACTCCTAGATCTGACTGACCTTCTACATGGCCTTGGACAGTTAAATACTCAACATCTACTTCAACTAAGGGGAAAAAAAACAATGGTGGCAATATAATGCTTCATTTCACAGATATATTTTAAAGACTTAACCTTTGTAAGACATTTTGAAGATGAAAAGCACAGCAGCACTCATTACTTTGCATAACCAAATTTCTCAGTGCCAAGCTGAACCTAAAATCTTTTGATGTCAGCTCATCACAGAGATATTTTGTGAGAAGATTTTTCTCACTTTTGTGTTGGCCTGTGATCATCTCATGCCACTGCATGCTTGGTTTTATTCCTGGTTTTGCTGTGTGCAGTTTTTCAAAGTGACTTTTCCCATAGGACATAACTGTAGACTTTTAACAACAACAAAGATTAAATCCCCAAAACTTGTTTCCCATAGCAATTCAAATACAACAGCTTATTGTTAACATTTCATAAAGTACTTACAACTGGTTTGAATACAAAAACATTTAAAAACAGAAGGCTAAAATGTCCTGCAACAGTAGCAAGAGATAAAATCAACATTTAATATCAAGACACCTGGATAATAAAGTAATAAGAAATAAATTGAAATCTTCAGCAGTCAATTGCCTGAGCGAGCTCACATGAAGTATGATTGCTCGTAAGTGGACCTGAAAATTGCACATGCTGAGAGAGACTAGAGCAATGTGCCACCATTTGACAGTCAAAGACATTCTTCCTGGGGTATTTAACCTCATTATTTTTTTTTGCTAGAAGAAGAAACGGACCCTCATGGCTTATGTTTTCACGTGTTCAGCACTCCTTACTCTGCCTATATCTACACAAGTTCAGAGTCCTACCAACCCAGGATCATGTCTGCACTCTTGGTGCTGAAAGACTTGGCAAGGTGTGCTTTAAAAGTCTCTCTCACAGTGAGAGGCAAAGGCTACTCTGCTTGTAATAACAGAACAATTAAAAAGTGTCACTGCGCAACTGTAAAACTGATGAAAATAAAGTCATCTAATTGATTCATGGTAGCCTTAATGAAACATACAGATTTTAGTGAAAAATAAGTCAGAATGCAGGCCAGTTTCATTCAGCCCTTAAAAGCCCTTTCTGCTGCCATGAGGAATGCATACAGAAAGACAAAATTCCCAAACTTGCACAATTTTATACTTCTAAGTTGGATTTTACCTTGACCAGGAATTCCTCCAACTGTCATGTTAGAGGATGAATGAACCAGGTACCTGAGGTACCAGTTAAGTGGGAGCTCTTCTGATCAGCCCATTGCTGCCTAATTCAGCTTCTAAAAGGGGGACTAAAGATTTCATTGTAAATCAGGAGAAATACATTGCATATCTGTAATGAGACTCACGTAGCAAGACAGAAGAACTGTCAAGTCTTCAGGAAAACAGCAGGGTAGATGATATTCTTTGTCTCCAGCAGAGTTTCAGCCTGAAAGTTGCAAGCTAGACTGCATGAAACAAGTGCTCTAGTCCATACCTGGTTCAGCTATGAAAATTAGCAGTATCTGTATCAGCTGCAGGTAGGGAGTTAATGCCTCTCAGCATGGCTGTGCCTGTAATATAGAAAAAGGGAAGTTTTATGCTGTATCTGGGAAGTTCAGCAGAGTCAGGTGTGGAGAAAGTTTGTCTTTCCTTTTCTCTTGTCATTTTTAAAACCTACATTCTTTCTTACTATTTGCTGTTTTGTATCTAGTACAAGAGATATTTTTGCTATTTGTAGTTCTACTGTAATACCTGTGGTGACATTATAGAGGGAAATTGCCTGGTAGGAGAAAATGAAAAGGAAGTATAATCAGGGCTTTTTTCTTCCTCCTTTTTTCTTTGATGGAAATGGGTTTGCTGGCTGTACGCTGGTTTCTAAAAGATAATGACAGACTGGAAGCTTAAAGAAAACAGTTCTTGACAGCACACCAAACATTTTGTAATAGTTTGTGTCATATAAAGCACTTTCATACCATCTGTGCTCCAGCAGCAAAGGGTTGCTCTGTCCCAGGCAGTACCTTTTGTCTCTGCATAGGCAAAAGAGTCAATGGAGCCAAGTATCAGATTTATAAATTTTGTCTCATGCTGGATGTGTGTAGTGTCAGTTTCTTCTGTAAACCCTCTCTGTATTCCCAACTTCCTACAGTCTGTCAAGAGCTGCAGCACAGCTCAGCAGAAAGGCAGGGATGCAGAGAACCGTGAGTTCGGCTGTTATGTTAGTGCCACTTTTTGTTTAATACTGCCTTGACTTGCTGAAGAAAAGAAATAACATAAGCAAAAGAGGAAAAGCGAATGCAACTGAAAGGCAAGCGTGTGTCTCAGCGCTTGTTATGAGAGTCCCTTCTATTCTGGGGAAGGCAGGATATTTTAATGAGGAAAACAGCATTTTTTCAAGTATTTCTTTAAAAAAAAAAAAAAAGGCTTTCTAAAGACAGCTTACTCCTAAGATAAAGATAAGTAACACATACACTATATGCAACTTAAATAAAGACCAGGAGGGAAATTAGAAATCAGAGTACCTTGATTATATTAAATTGCCTTCTTCAAGCAGTGGTGTTTGTCCTTATTAAATAATTGTATGTTTCTTAGTATTAGAAGAAGAGAAATCATTAATACTAACACTTACATAAGTAAAATAAAGGATTATTCCTTATAGCACTATCAGGCATGGTATTTGTGGCAGTAAAATCCCACATGCCTATGGCAATGGAAAAGTAACTCAGTTGTTAAAATTTTCTTTGATTTGAAAGAATTTTAAAAAAGAAGAAAATCTCTGAAAAGAGAGAAGAGCAGTAAGCCCTAAATGCAGCCTCTGATTTCAGTATTGTCGACTTTGAGGCTCAATACTTTTCTCATTATCATCACTGTTTCATGGATTTTCTAACTTTAATGAATTTCTATGCTCAGGCACAGAGCTATTTTCTTAGCTATCTTGCTTCACTATTCTGATAGAAGCAGTCTTTTAATTTAAAACATTATTATTAAAAGTAATGCTTGAAAGACTTATCTGAAAGATATATTGTTTTAGCAATAGTTGCAAATCAAAATGCAACTGTCTAGATACTCAATTATATATTTTAATGGAAGACTTTGAGTAAAGCTTAGGCAGAAAGAAAAAAAAGTACTTACCAGCATTTATCATTTAAATTATGAGCATATTTTAGACTATTCACATATTTCTTATACCTGAATAAGGTTGAGACTGAAGCTAGTTCAGTGGACAGCACTTAACTTGTGAAGTCTCTGCCCTTGGAATACGTTGCCTCCGCAGTATTCTAAAAGGGCAAGGTATTCTTGCATCTTTTCTCCAATGCATTAAAAACTAGCATCTTTCAACATCTGGTAGTCTTACATTACACCACTTAACTCTTTTGTAAGCCACATAAATATTTACCATCCTTTTGTCTTTGACAGTACTCCAGACTTTCTTCTTTTGTGATCTTACAGGGTACTACTCAAATACTGCTTAGGCTAAGGGTTGTTTATCAGAATTCACACTACATAATGCCTTCACTGGGACACACATCAGTCACTAAGCTGCCCGAATTATATTTGGTTTTACTTTTAGTTTTGGATCTTGTAGGGTTTTTTTCTGCACTCAATACAGCGCAGCTGATTGCAGGTTACTGAAAATCCTGAAGTTTACACAATAGTGGTTAGAGCGTCCTGCAGGCTCATGCTGACCAACAAGCTCACATGATAAAGTTCACCTGTACATCAGCTGAGAATATGCCATGGAGTTTAACCCCTCCACTGCTCCACGTACCTCAACCCTCAGCTCTGCAGAGTTGATGTGTTCTGCACTGCTCAAGCTCCTGGCAGCCACCTCGATCCAGAGACCTTTGTAATGCGGCAGAGGCGGCAGTGATCCCTGTAAGGCTGAGATCTGGGATAATTCATAAAATCAGAAAAGCATCTGGGCTCACAGAACCTTGTAAGCTACACAAGATGACTCTCTTAGACCTTCCAAAACAGGAATATAATGGAGATTTTAAGTGCTAGCCTATCAAGCTCACATATTGCTTCCCATGTAAAGAGAGCAAGTATGCTCTGAGACCTCAAGGTTGTAAAGTACTTAGCTTCCCTACATAAGCACTTTCAGTAAGACAGAGGCATCATCTCACTGTGTAACTGATTCATATGTAATATGCAACTTTTCTTTTACTGTTATTTGGTTTTGGCCACTATTACTTGCCTGTTGTCCATCTTTCTGTTTTATAGCAGGCTGCCAAATGAAAGCTAGCAACACTTATGTTCATATAGAAAGTCACCATGTAAATATTAGCATTTCCCTATTTGTAGGTGGCTCAACTAAAGTAATTGCCGGAGTTTGTAGACAGCAACAATGCTGGTAGGTGTATATTTTATCTCAGCACCGAACTAGAGTTCATTCCAGCTTCTTGGCTATCTGGTTTCTTCTCTGATATCTGTACCCCACTGTTTTAACACATGCACTGACTTAACCTTTTGACAGCTTAACAAGGAGGCATCATGATAGACAAAAGTTAGCATTTAAAATGAAATCTGAAATGCAAGATAGGCCTTACCTGCAGAAGGGTTTCATTTTGGCATAGTATTTGCCCTCATTAA